AATAAAGAAAAACTGAAAGTTTAGATATTCCTCTGAGATCTTGAACATGACAACCCATTCACCACTGTTACCCAACGTAGTTCTGAAAGTTCTAGCTAGAGCAGTGAGACAAGAGAAAGACAGAGCATCACGTTGATAAGGAAGAAGTCAAATTGTCCTTGTTTGCAGACGATATGTTTGTTTCTTTGTTTGTTTTGTGATGGAGTCTTGCTGTGTCACCCAGGCTGGAGTGCAGTGGTGCGGTCTCAGCTCACTGCAACCTCTGCCTTCTGGGTTCAAGCAATTCTCCTGCCTCAGCCTACCAAGTAGCTGGGATTACAGGCATGTACCACCACGCCCAGCTAATTTTTGAGTTTTTGGTACAAATGGGGTTTCACCATGTTGGCCAGGATGGTCTCGAACTGCTGACCTTGTGATCTGCCCGCCTCGGCCTCCAAAGTGCTGGGATTACAGGCATGAGCCACCACACCCTGACAATATGATCTTATTTTTAATGGCGTTAATTTAAATGCAATTTTCCCATCATAATATTGTCTAAGTCATCTAAATAAATACCCAGTTGTTTTAAAAGAATAATAAACAGATGCCTTTTTTCTTTAACATACCCTTGTTGGGCGGCTTTCCTCCCACATACCTCGTGTTGCAAAAAGAGTTTCTCCCAAGGCTGTCTCTGGCTGGCCTCAGACCTCATGAAGGGGGATTGTGGCAGCTGTTCTGTCTCACTCTCCCAAAAGTTACGTCAGCTCAGGTTTGTACCCAGGAGGGACAGGACTAATCCCAGCCTCACACTCATGTGGGCAGATGCTTCTGTCTGACCAGAGCGGACTGAATCTGTTACACAACAGGAGAGGGGCCCAGTGCTGACCATGGGCTTCACTCAGTGTGCAGAGATATCCCAGTTCCTGTCCACAGACGTGAGCAAGGGTGAGCCACGGCTTTTCCTCTGAAGCCCCTACCCCCTCCCTGACTGTGAGGACCTGGGCTTCACTCAGTGTGCAGAGATATCCCAGTTCCTGTCCACAGACGTGAGCAAGGGTGAGCCACGGCTTTTCCTCTTCATCTGAAGCCCCTACCCCCTCCCTGACTGAGGACCTGGGGTTCCTCTTCTGTCCCACACAGAAGTAGAAATCTCCTCCCTAATGACCCGACGATGGTCCTAGGCACATGCGGCCTTTCAGCTTTCAACTCTGTTCTTTGATGTGCAGCCTTCTCAAACTAAAAAACTTTTCATTTCTTTTCTGCACAGAACTTCCATAATCTACATAATTCAGATAGATATATATGTTTTGAGACAGGTCTTACTCTCTCGCCCAGGCTAGAGTACAGTGCTGTGATCATGCCTCACTGCAGCCTGGACCACCCAGGCTCAAGCGATCCTCACACCTCAGTCTCCCAAAAGTTGGGACTGCAGTCATGCACAACCACACCTGATTATTTCTTTTTTATTATATGCAGAGATGTGGTCTCACCATGTTCCCCAGCCTGGTCTTGAACTTCTGAGCTCAAGGGATCCTCCATCCTCAGGTGCTCAGATTACAGGGGTGGGCCACCATGCCTGCAACTTTAAACATATTATAAGGAGCATTTCTTGGTATTTGGAGCTGATGTGGGCTCTTGAGTGGGTGCATCAATCATCCTTCTCAACTACAGGGCTCAATGCCAGGATCCTCTCACACCCAACTACTCCTGTCTAAATATGGTCTGGAAACTCACCATGGCCGAGCCCCTTCCATGTCTCAGACACCACTAACCCCCACATCCACTCTGAGAAGTGGAGGTCATGACCACAGTCTCCAAAAGATAAAGGCTGAAGGAAGCCACTGATTGTCCAATGTCACATAGTAAGTGAAGGAGAATTGGGAATTAACTTCAGCTCCCCACTTCACCCCCTGAATCAGATGACAGACCCGAGTAATTGTTCTGAAAACCCTGAACATTGTTTGAGGTGCAGAGGGACGGCCAAGGATACGGGCACTGAGGAGGCAGGAACGACTCAGAGGCTCATTCCCAGAGGAGGCGGTTTTGCTGCTCTGCCCTAATGCACACAACCTTGGTGAGCTGAGTATAGGTCAGGCAGGCAGTGGCTAGGCGTTAGGGAGACCCTGTTTCTGTCTGAAATGTCTGCAGAGAGCCTGGAGCTCACCCGAGCCCCATCCCTGGGGAAATGAGAGCCCTGGGGAGGGCAGTTCCCCGTCCTGTGGGGCTGCAGGTGAGACAGTCTTGTGACAGGGAGAACACAGCCTCCAGTCCACACTCTGTGTGCTCCTGTGTCCTCTCAGGCACTGTGGTCTCATCTGCCATGACCATCACCCTCTCAGTTGTGATTTGCCTCGGTGAGGTTTGAAGAGGGGAAGGAAGACCCTAGTCTTGGAGGGAACTCACTCTCTTTTTTTTTTATTTTTATTTTTATATAAGCACTATGTGTCTACTGCTTATAAACGGCTTTTTTTTTTTTTTTTTTTTTTTTTTTTGGAGAGAAGGAAAGAAAAAAAAAGGAGTGAAGGAGAGGAAGAAAAAGAGGGAGAGAGAACGGAAATGTTGCTTTATTCTAAAAAATGGGTATTAATAATGGCCAATCAATATTTTATTTAAACCTATGAGTAGGTGTGATGTGGTATTGACAAGAATGTATATTTTGTGTATTTGAAGTGGAGAGCTCTATAAATATTTATTAAGTTTACTTGTTCCGGATCTGAGTTCGAGTCCTTGATATCCTTATTAATTTTCTGTCTCACTGAGTCTAAGCCTCTATGTATCTGGGTGTTAGGATCGTTAGCTCTTATTGTTGCATTGATCCTTTTACCACTATATCTTTGTTGCTTTAAAATCTATTTTATCAGATGCGAGAATTGCAACGGAACTCACTCTAAAGCCAGGCTCTGGTCTATCAGAGAATCTGGTCTATCAGAGGCTCCTAGAGAGGAGAGGAACTGCTGGGGCTTCGGGGGAAATCTCTCACAGGGAACTCTCTTCCAGGGCTGAGCCTGGGCCCCAGGACCAGCGTGCAGTCAGGTGAGTCTGTCCCTAGCTGTCCCAGGTCCCTCCTCTCTGGGGACAAGGGCCCAACCCTGGGCAGCTGGGGGAGGAGACACCAGTTCTGGGCTGACTGATGGAGATGTCTGGAGGGTCCCGGGGCTGAGAGCTGGGATCTGAGGGGTGAGGATCTTGGCATCCCTCAGATATCCTTGGCATATCTTGGCATCAGTCTCTGATTCCATTCCAGGCACCATCCCCAAACCTACCCTCTGGGCTGAGCCAGGCTCTGTGATAGCCTGGTTCAGCCCCATGGCCCGCTGGTGTCAGGGGCCCCTGGAGACTGTGAAGTACCATCTGGATAAGGACAGAACCCACTGGAGCCCGGAGCCAAGGCCAAGTTCCACGATCCATCCGTGGGATTTGATGCTGCAGGGCAGTACCGCTGCTACTATGAGACCCGCAGGCTGGTCAGAGCCCAGTGACCCCATGGAGCTGGTGGTGACAGGTGAGGTGACACTCAGGGGCCCCAGCCACAGGCTCTGCCCTCATGAAGGAGATCGGCTCTCACAGCCCAGTGTTGGGGATACAGCGGGAGGTGTGACCCCATTAAACACGTTGCCTCCTTCTTCCCAGGATTCTATGCAGAATCCACCCTCTCAGCTCTGCCCAGCCCTGTGGTGGCCTCAGGAGGGAACATGACCCGCCAGTGCGACACACGGAACGGATTTCTCATGTTTGTTCTTGTTGAGGAAGGAGAACAGAAGCTCCCCAAAGGGCCGGCCCTGTTCCCTGTGGGCCCTGTGACCCCCAGCCACAGATGGAGGTTCAGATGCTATTCCCATTTCTGGGAAAAACCTCATGTGTGGTCGATCCCCAGCGATCTCCTGGAGATTCTGGTCCCAGGTGAAAAAGCCACTACGCTTCTTTATACAATTGAGAGGAGCCAGATCGGCTGTGGGAGTCTGGTTGATGACTGATCGTGGCCAGGACCCCAGAAGGATGTTGAGGGCCGGGCTGATGGTGTGAGGAGGACCCCATGCAGAGGCTCTCATAGGGAAAGAGGAGCCTCAGTCACCCGCACCTGGACAGGGTCAACTCACGAAGGCACTGGGTGTATTTGCTGCGATTTCCTGTCCCTCGATGAGATGAGGACGGACCAGACAGAGTGGCCGGGAGTCAGGGAGACATTGGTCTGGAACCTCTCCAGGACAGCCCAGGTGAGAAGGAGCCCCTGGGGTCCGAGACACAGAGTGTGAGAGACACTGAGACCTGCAGGGCCAGGATGGGAGAGGGAAGGGGTGTGGGAGGAACCAGCCATCCGAGTCCCCGCTCCTCTTTCCCTCCAGGCATGTCTAGGAAGCCCTCCCTCCTGACCCCGCAGGGCCCTGTCGTGGCGCATGGAGGCAGCCTGACCCTGCAGTGTCGCTCTGATGTCGACTATGACAGATGTGCTCTGTACAAGGACCAGGGAGTTAACCTCCTCCAGGGCTCTGGCCAGAAGTTCCAGGCTGGGCTCTCCCAGGCCAACTTCACCCTGAGCCCTATAAGGGTCTCCCACGGGGGCCAGTACAGATGCTCCAGTGCCCACAACCTCTCCTCCAGTGGTCAGCCCCCAGTGACCCCCCTGGACATCCTGATCTCAGGTGAGGAGCCCAGCGGGTTCAGTCAGGGACCCAGGCTCTGCAAAGGCCCTGCCAGGAGAGCCCAGGTGGTGATGGCTGGGATGAGAGGTGGGCGTCCCTAGGGAGGAGGAGACTCAGAAAACAGAGACAGACTGAGGGTCCCAGAGAGAGGCCTGGGGAGGTCTCAGCTCAGAACGAGGCGGGGCAGCCCCTCACCCGTCCTTCTTCTCTTCAGGATAGATCCCTGCGAGACTCTCCCTCTCAATACAGCTGGGCCTCACAGTGGCCTCAGGAGAGAAGGTGACCCTGCTGTGTCAGTCATGGCACCATGTGGACAGTTTCTTTTTGACCAAGGAGGAAGCAACCCATCCCACCCTGCGTCTAAAGTCAAAGTACCAGTCTTACAGGAACCAGGCTGAATTCCCCATGAGTCCTGTGACTTCAGCCCAGGGTGGAACCTACCGATGCTACAGCAGAATCAGCTCCTACCCCTCCCTGCTGTCGGACGCTAGTTACCCCCTGAAGCTTGTGGTCCCAGGTGAGACCCCTGACCCTGTCCTCTCTGAGCTCAAAGGTTCAGCTCAGGGTCTGTCCCCAGGAGAGCTCTGGGCTGGGATGGAGTGTAGGGGGTTGTTAGGGGGCCCAGCCAGAGCAGGACTCACCCCTCAGAGGGGAGGAGGACAATGGGCCACCTCCCAGGCAGGCCCACCCTTGGCCCCATCTCCTGGGACACAAATGGTGAAAGGTGAGCAGAGGAGAGTTTCCAGGGAAGTGACAGGCAGGTGGAGCGAGGGCTTCAGTGGACCTGGGGACTCTGGGGCACCAAAGCTCCTCACTCCCTTTCTGTGCTTACTCCCAGAAGCCTCTGGGAGCCCCAGCCCCCCCCCACTGGTCCCACCCCACATTGGTGAATGACTAAGGCCTCTGGGCTGGGAGGGAGCGTGGCCTCCCCCAGGGCAGGGCCGAGTCTCCCAGAGGATCCTTTCCCCCTCACGGACTCAGCACACGCCTCCTCCAGAGAGTTGGGCAGAGACAGAGCGGGGGCCACAGGCTCCCAGGGGCTCTGAGGCTGGGCTGGTGAGGGGTGGAGTGTCGGGGCAGAGGGAGATGTTGGGGCCCAGCCTGGGGGAGGAGCTGGGGTGACGTGGGGAGCAGGACAGCCCCAGCCCTCAGCTCCCCATCGTGACCCAGCAGAAATGAAGAGAAGGTGCTGCTATTTGTAGAAATAAGGAGGTCAGAGGTGGGAAGTTTGGGAGAAACAAACCACCCTTCCTAGGCACTGGGAGGTTCTGCTCTCTCTGACTCAGCTAACTGCCTTACACACACCTTCAGGCTCCTTTCCACATGGGTCATTGCTCCACTGGGTCATGACCCCGTTGGTTCCTCTCGTCAGCCAAGGCACAGAATGGAAGAGCCTTCATCTCCTCGGCACCTCCTCTTCACACACGATGAACAGTCCACACCATTCTCCCTCAGAGCCTTCTCACCAGTGTCTCCTGTCCGATGCTACAGTCCAGGCTCAGCCGGTGTCCTCAGCTCAGCACTTCCTGCTTTGTGGCAGCACAGCTCCCAACTCCGCCTCCATCTCTGGGCTGGTTTTCTATTAGTACTGCAGAAGCCCCCATTCTGTGCCATGACACACACCAGCCCAGCCCCTGGAGGGTCTGAATGGAGAGCAGGACTCTGCAGAGTTGCCCAGGAACATGGTTTCACACATGCTCCTGCAGGAAATCCATAACCACGATTGCCAAGTGGTCATTTCCAGCATCTCAGGGTGTAGGGGATGCTGGCTAGTCCCTGCAGTGACACATCGTTTGGCAACTCTGTTGGGACCCTATGAAGAACCTATGGAGGTCCTGTGAGGGAAGATCCTATAAAGATGCTATGGAGATCCTATGACGGTCCTATGGGGGTCCTGTAAGGCCCTTTAGAGAACCTATGGAGGTCCTATGGAGAGTCTGAGATTCTATGAAGGTCCTGTGAAGTTCTGATTGAGAGTCTGTGGAGGTCCCGTGGAAGTCTTATGGAGACCCTATGGAGGTCCTGTGAAGGTCCCGTGGAGATCCTGTAGAGGTCTTGCAGATCCTGTGGAGATTGTAACACTTTTCCTTGCCTGAGGTTGGAAATAGACTTGCAGTTTCAAGATAGGAAGCCTAAGGCCAGCACTGTGTTCTCTGAGCGACCTCAAAGTAAATTGTTTCATGGTCTTGAAGAAGCCCATATCTTGTATCTGCTAGAGACATATAAGCATCTTCTTCACACATGATGAACAAAGTTCACACACTTCCTCCTCAGTAAGGCACAGAGACATGGACAGAAAGAAAACTAGTCAAGGACTGGCTAAAAATCCGCTGACCTGAGGATCTGCTGATGGTGTGACGAACACTGAGCTTCAGCCGGCTCTCTCAGCAGCCCCAGTGCACGCAGGAAGGGCCCGTGAGTGTCGTGGCCATACAGCAAGAAAAAAAAGGACATGCAGCCAGCTGTGGTGACTCACTTCTGTAATCCCAGCACTTTGGGAGGCCAAGGTAGGGAGTTCAAGACCAGCCTGGCCAACATGGCGAAACCCTACTTCTACTAAAAATACAAAAATCAGACAGGTGAGGGGCAGGCACCTGTAGTCCCAGCTACTTGGGAGGCTGAGGCAGGAGAATCAGGAGACGAAGGTTGTAGTGAGCCAAGACTGTGCCACTGCACTCCAGCCTGGGAGACACAGCGAGAGTCCGTCTCAAAAAAAAAAAAGAAGAGAAGATGCATGGACCCAACACCAAAGAAAAGAGAAGATGCATGGACCCAACACCAACGACTCCTTCTCACCAAGGACCATGTAGCCTCCACTGTGGCTGAGAGTCCCCAGTGACCAGCAGGGCCTTCTGGATGGGATGCCTTCCTTTGAGGGGACCAGCGAGCCATCTGGTGGCCGCTTGACAACATGGCGCATATCCCACCAGGAGGGGGCAGCAAATCCTCCTGACTGCGATGGATGCTGGTGCTGAGATGGGTTCCACTGGGCTCATTGCGGCTCTCCGCCAGGAATCAGAGGGTCCCACCTGTTTAAATGGAGCATCCCGCAACTTAATCACTGCTCGAGGGTCCCACACACCCATAAAATCAGTGGGGCAGTGAGAACAGGGCCACGTGATGTCCTGGGGATGACCTGAGATGGGACGCGTGCAATGCAGTGGTTGGTGCTGCTGGGGCTGAGGGAGCCTCGGAATGGCCTCTCACAGGAGATGCAAGAGACAGGCTGTGGATGAGACGCTGCAGGCTGGGTGCTCTCGGATGGTGTCATAGACATAGATACAGAACAGATATAGACAGCTGGAGACAATATACATACTCATATGGATGAACACTAAATGAGGCTATGGCTTTTCCTTTAATATTTGTGTTCCTATTTATTTTCCTGTAATGGGCTCTGCCAATGAAAATGCTGTATCTTTACACAGGTAGAACACATGGGCTGGGAAAGAAAAGGAGAGCATAATAAACAGCCTCCATCACCCACTTCCAGGTCACCCACCTGGGAGACACGCACGTCCTGGGCCTGCACTTTTAGGTGATTTGGGGTTAGACGATCTGCCTGGTAGGAAATTACTACCAGAAGACAACAAGGGTTACCCAACGCCAAAAGTCATCACTTCGCCCTTTTTTTTTTTTTTTTTTTTTTTTTGGGCACACTGCAACCTCTGCCTCCCAGATTCAAATGATTCTCCTGCCTCAGCCTCTAGAGTAATCCCTCTGGGATTGCCGGCATGTGCCACAATGTCTGGCATGTGCTACGAAACCTGCTTTTTTTTTTTTTTAATCAAAGTCTGATAAATATTTCTTGAAATCTTCCATTGTGTATCAATTGACACTTTGTAAATTTGAAGGACACGTGATTGGTTGAGTGAAAGTGTGTAACCTTCTCCTCTCAGCAGACTGTGATTTAAAAGTAAAACATGAACTGCTGGGCCGGGCGCGGTGGCTCACGCCTGTAATCCCAGCACTTTGGGAGGCCGAGGCAGGTGGATCACGAGGTTAAGAAATCGAGACCATCCTGGTCAACATGGTGAAACCCCATCTCTACTAAAAATACAAAAATTAGCTGGGCACGGTGGCGCGTGCCAGCTACTCAGGAGGCTGAGGCAGGAGAATTGTCTGAACCCAGGAGGCGGGGGTTGTGGTGAGCCGAGATCGCGCCATTGCACTCCAGCCTGGGTAACAACAGCGCAACTCCATCTCAAAAAAAAAAAGAAACATCAACTGTTCTTTTAAAACAACAGTTGTGTGGTATGAGGATTGCTTCGGCGTTTGCATTAGTATCGGTTTGCTGCTGGTGCCGTAACAAATTACTACATGTTGAGCAGCTGAAGCAACATGATCTGTTATCTCATGTTTCGGGAACTCGGAATTCGGAACAGGTCTTAGGATAAAACCGAGGCCTTCACATAGCTGCATTCCTTTCTGGAGGCTCCGGAGGGGAGAATCCGTTTCCGATTCTTAGTGGAAACGTATGTACTTGTATATACACATATGACTGATCCATGCGGACTAGTGTCTCGTGTGTACTGCTCATCTCATTACTCACAGCAGCATCTCACCTTCTCCTTTTGGGGTTCATTATTCTACTCACTGACTTACATCATCGTTTAGTATTGCTTTCAGGGACGCCAGGTGCACAAATACCTGCAGCCTGGCAGCTCTAGTGATGCCTGATTCTCTCTCGCTCTTTCTCTCTCTCCCCCTCCCTGTCTGTCCCTCCTCTCTCTCCCTGTTCTTATCATGATACCTGATAAAAGGAAAATGAACACACTCTCCTTATTCCTCATAAGGCGATCGCCTGACCTGAGGGTTTAACGTGTGAGACATGAGTCCCAACAGATCACAGATGCCCGAGTCTCCTCGTGTGCTTTACCATGACCGAGACACTAAATATAGTCACAAACTGGCATTTTCTTTTCGATTCTGTAATAATTTCAGCCATTAGCTCTTCCTGAAATGTCATGAACTAACAACCTTCTTCCTTTCATTCTGAAACGGGTACAGACATGTTATTCCTTCTGATTCTACTTCCTGTATATATTAATATTTTCTGTTGTTCAATGTCTATCCTTTCCATGGTACAGTCTGGAAAACGTAATGAGTATCTCATGCCAATGTACATATTTACTGTTGCAGTGGTCTTGTCCTGGACTCAATTATGTTTTGGATTTTGTTATATCTACATAGTAGATACATACAGTGTATCTTATTTTTTTTTTGAGACAGCTGTGTTCTTGTGGGGCTGAAGTGCAGTGGTGCGATGGCACACTGCAGCCTCCGCCTCCAGGATTCAAGAGATTCTCCTGCCTCAGCCTCCCCATGTATATATATATTTGATTCTCTTTCTCTTTATTCCCTGTATTTGCCCTTTTGAGACAGGGTCTTGCTCTGTCACCCAGGCTGGAATGCTGAGGGGTGATCAGAGCTCCCTGCAGCCTCCACCTCCCAGGCCCAAGTGATCCTCTCACGTCAGCCTCCTGAGTTGCAGGGACCACAGGCATGAGCCTCCATGCTCAGCTAACTTTCCTCTTTTCTGTACAGACAGGGGCTCTCTGTGGCCTCAAGCCATCCTCCCGCCTCAGCCTCCTGAAGTGCTGGGATTCCAGGCGGGAGCCACCACGGCAGGGCCTGCATTTCTCCTCTGTGCTCACGGCAGCTCAGCCTGGACTGCAAAGCCAGGTGTCAGGTGCGTCTCTGTTGACCTGAGCCTGCCTGCAGCACGGACCTGCATCTTCCCTGAAGCAACTCCAGGGCTGGAGAGACGATGGCCATAGTGAGGACCCTGCACCTCTGTGCTGATGGACGGGCTGAAGGAGGGAGGGAGACCCCATGAGGAGGCTGTGAGAGGGAGGAGGAGCCCACTCTCACCCTCTCCTGAAAGGGGCTGACTCAGGAAGGAACCAGGGCTATGTGCTGCTGTGTCCCAGCCCTCAATGAAATAAAGATAAATCAGACAGAGAATGGTCCTGGGGCAGGGAGACCCATTTCTCTTTGTAATGTCTGCAGAGAGGCGGGTGCCCGTCCCCACCACAGCCCAAAATGAAAGCCAGGCTCCTGGGGAGGGCAGTTCCCCTTCCTGTGGGCTGTGGATGAGACAACCCCATGACAAGAAGCACTCAGCCTCCGAGCAGCCACACCCTGGATGTCTCCCTGTCCTGCCAGCACCAAGGGCTCATCCATCTGCAGAGCCCGTGGCCACTGGGAAGCGACGCCATGACCCCCACCCTCACAGCCCTGCTCTGCCTTGGTGAGATTTCAAGATGGGGAGAGGAGATCTGAGTCTTGGAGGGACCCCACCCCACACACAAGCCCTGGTCCATCAGGAGACCTCAAAAGCTCAGGAGGCACTAGGGAGGGGAGGATCTGCTCAAGCTTCAGAGGCAAATCTCTCACAGGGAACTCTCTTCCAGGGCTGAGTCTGAGCCCCAGAACCCGCGTGCAGGCAGGTAAGTCTGTCCCCAGCTGTCCCAGGTTTCTCTTCCTCTCTAGAGACAAGGCCCACCCCTGGGCAGCTGGAGGTGGAGACAGCAGTTCTGGGTGGCTGATGGGGATGACGGGGGCATCCTGGAGCTGAGAGCTGGGATCTGAGGGCTGATGGAGGTCTTGGGATCCAGCCTCTGATTTCCTTCCAGGGCCCCTCCCCACACCCATCCTCTGGGCTGAGCCAGCCTCTGTGATCATCTGGGGGAGCCCCGTGACCATTTGGTGTCAGGGGAACCTGGAGGCCCAGGAGTATCATCTGGAAAAAGAGGGAATCCAAGTAGCCTGGGTCAGACAGAACCCACTGCAACCCAACAAGGCCAGATTCTCCATCTCATCCATGTCAGAGTCCCATGCAGGGAAATATCGCTGTTACTATCTCAGCCCTGCAGGCTGGTCAGAGCGCAGTGAGCCCCTGGAGCTGGTGGTGACGGGTGAGAGGACACTCAGGGTCCCAGCCCCAGGCTCTGCCCTCAGGAAGGGGGTTGGCTCTCAGGGACATCTCCCTCTCCCAGCCCAGGCCTGGGGGTGATGTGGGAGGTGTGAGCCCCATTTCACATGGTGCTTCCTTCTCTCCTAGGAGTCTACAGCAAACCCACCCTCTTAGCCCTGCCCAGCCCTGTGGTGACCTCAGGAGGGAACGTGACCCTCCAGTGTGGCTCACAGGAGGGATATTTCCATTTTGTTCTGATGAAGGAAGGAGAACACCAGCTCCCCCGGACCCTGAACTCACAGCAGCCCCCCAGTGGGTTCAGGGCCCTGTTCCCGGTGGGTCCCGTGACCCCCAGCCACAGGTGGATGTTCAGATGCTATTACTATTATAGAAACACCCCCCAGGTGTGGTCACACCCCAGTGACCCCCTGGAGATTCTGAGCTCAGGTAAGGAAGCCACGGTTTCTCTAACACACTTTTGGGGCAGCAGACAGGCTGGGAGTTTGGCTAGTGACTGAAGATGGAGAGGACCCAGAGTGATGTGTTGATGGACAGGCTGAAGGCGTGAGGGAGGCCCCGTGGGGAGACTGACATGGGAGGAGGAGCCCTCGGTACCCTCACCTGGAAGGGGAGACTGAGGAAGGCTCCAGTGTGTTTGCTGTGAGGTCCTGGCTCTCAGGGGGAGGGGGGAAGCTCAGGCACAGCGGCGAAAGCTCAGGGAGACCCCACTCCTCTGAAGTGGCTCCAGGACAGCCCAGGTGAGAAGGAGCCCTGGGGTCCAAGACACAGGGTGTGAGAGACACTGAGACCTGCAGGGCCAGGACAGGAGAAGGAAGGGGCATGGGAGGAACCAGCCATCCGAGTCCCCGCTCCCCTTTCCCTCCAGGCGTGTCTAGGAAGCCCTCCCTCCTGACCCCGCAGGGCCCCGTCGTGGCGCATGGAGGCAGCCTGACCCTGCAGTGTCGCTCTGATGTCGACTACGACAGATTTGCTCTGTACAAGGACCAGGGAGTTAACCTCCTCCAGGGCTCTGGCCAGAAGTTCCAGGCTGGGCTCTCCCAGGCCAACTTCACCCTGAGCCCTATAAGGGTCTCCCACGGGGGCCAGTACAGATGCTACGGTGCACACAACCTCTCCTCCGAGTGGTCAGCCCCCAGTGACCCCCTGGACATCCTGATCTCAGGTGAGGAGCCCAGCGGGTTCAGTCAGGGACCCAGGCTCTGCAAAGGCCCTGCCAGGGAGCCCAGGTGATGATGGCTGGGATGAGGGGTGGGGGTCCCAAGGGAGGAAGAGATAGAGACGGGGAGACTCAGAGAAAACAGAGACAGAAACTGAGGGTCCCAGAGAGAGGCCTGGGGAGGTCTCAGCTCAGAACAAGTCGGGCAGCCCCTCACCATCCTTGTTCTCTCCAGGACAGATCCCTGACAGACCCTCCCTCTCAGTGCAGCCGAATTCCACGGTGGCTTCAGGAGAGAACGTGACCCTGCTGTGTCAGTCACAGGGGTGGATGGACACTTTCCTTCTGACCAAGGCGGGAGCAGCTGATGCCCCCGTGCGTCTACGATCAAAGCACCAATCTGATAAGGACCAGGCTGAATTCCCCATGAGTCCTGTAACCTCAGCCCACGCGGGGACCTACAGGTGCTACAGCTCACACAGATCCAACGCCTACCTGCTGTCCCTCCCCAGTGACCCCCTGGAGCTGGTGGTCTCAGGTGAGGGCCCTGACCCTGTTCTCTCTAAGCACAAAGGCTCAGCTCAGGCCCTGCTGAGGAGGGAGGATGGAGGGAGGGAGGTTATGAGGGAGGTTTAGCCCGAAGGGCCTCAGTCCTCAGCAGGAGGAAGCCAGCAGGGGTTCTCGTAGGCATGGCCACCCGTATGCCTTGCTGGCATGCAGAAGGTACCAGGTGGGCAGAGAAATGTTTCCAGGGAATGCACTGTGTGGACGCAGGGAAGCTGGAGTGAAGTGTGTGCTCCACAGACAGCCCCGGCCCTCACCCACCTCCTGTACTCCTTCCAGGACCCTCTGCAGGCTCCAGCCCACCACCCGCAGGGCCAACCACACCTGGTGAGTCATGGAGGCCTCTTGGGGAGCACGGCCTCCCCCAGGGCAGTCCTGAGTCTCCCAAAAGATCCCATTCCCCTCCCCTCAAGGATGGGCTTGTGTCCCAGGGGCTCTGAGGCTGGGCTGGTAAGGGGTGGGGGGTCAAGGCAAAGGCAGATATTGGGGCCCAGCATGGGGGAGCAGCTGGGCTGATGTGGGGGACAAGGCAGCCCCAGCCCTCAGCTCCCTGTGCTGACCCAGGAGGCCCTGAGGACCAGCCCCTCACCCCTCAGGTCAGGCCCCCAGAGTAGTGAGTGAGGGTGTCTGAGCAGGTGGGCAGGTCCAGGAAAGGCAGGGGTGGGTTCTGTCCTAGGTTCAGGTTCCTCTGGAGATGGTGACAGGGACAGGCCCCTCTCCCACCTGGGCCTCAGTTTCTCCAAGGAGAGAGAAACTGCACTAGTGGGAAAGTTCCTTTCAGCTCTGACTCCCAGCTGTGACCTCCTGGGGGAGGAGGCCTCCCAGGGAAGCCTCCAGACCCGATTCCACAGGGGCCTATCCTGTCCCACCTGCAGCAGTGACGCTGACCTGGGGCAGGGGAGGGGAGCAGGGCCGTGGTTCAGGAGGTCAGGCTCTTTCCCTGCAGCTCCGGGGCTCAGCTCAGTACAGGGAACAAGGGCTGCAGGTCAGACTCCTGGGTTCCCTCCCCAGCTCTGCCACCACCTGGCTGGGGACCTGGGGCAGGCGATTGCCCTCTGAGCCTCAGTTTATGTATCTGTGAAATGGGTTGTGGGGGCAGCAATCCCATGTTGCATGAGTGCTGTGAGGGTTAGAGCTCATGAATGACTTGGCACACGCCTGCGCACAGTAGGTGCTCACATCAATGACATCATCCTCATTCCTGACGTCATCACACTCAAGGTCTGGGAAGGTACCTGGAGGTGTTGACTGGGGTCTCCATGGGCTTCGTCCTGCTGCTCCTCCTCCTCCTCCTCTTCCTCCTCCTCCGACACCGGCGCCAGAAGAAACACAGAACCTTGGGTGAGTAGGGAAGGGGGGTACCCATGGGCTGGCCAAGGGTGGGCTCAGGGCACCAGCCAGAGGGAGCCAGAACACACAGGGAAGTCAGCTTAGAAAACCGGTTCCAGAGGCGTCTAATGTCAGCACACATTTACTGTTTTTTCATTTTTTGAGATAGAGTCTTGCTCTATAGTCCAGGCTGGAGTGCAATGACACAATCTCAGCTCACTGCAACCTCCGCCATCTGGGTTCAAGTGATTCTCCTGCCTCAGCCTACCAAGTAACTGGAGTAGCTGGGACTACAGATGCCCACCACTACGCCTGGCTAATTTTTGTATTTTTAGTAGAGACGGGGTTTCGCCATGTTGGCCAGGCTGGTCTTGAACTCCTGACCTTGTGATCTGCCTGCCTCAGCCTCCCAAGCTGCTAGGGTTACAGGCGTGAGCCACTGTGCGCACGTAGTCAGCACACATTTACAAACCTCCGTATTCATGGAAGTTGTTTTCTATCTCATGAAATATCTGGGACATCCCTGCAGGAATATTTTAAGCTTTCCTGCTTTCCCTCAAGTTGCATGTGCAGGATGGGTGGTTCTAATGTTCCCAGGGCTGAGACTCTGTCTGTCTTCATCCAGACCAGAGAGAGGCTGATTTCCACCATCCTACTGGGGCTGTGGAGCCAGAGCCCAAGGACAAGGGCCTGCAGAGGAGGTAATTCTGCCCGAAGACCCCAGACTCCCACCTACCCACCACCCGTACCCTGTCCCTCTCACACTCCTGTGTCCTCCCAGGTCCAGCCCAGCTGCTGATGTCCCGGAAGAAAACCTCTGTGAGAGGAAGAGGGACAAATGGGGGGCTGGGGGGAAAGGAGGGACAAATGGGGGTGCTGGGGGACGGGAGGGACAAATGGGGGTGCTGAAGGGACGGGAGGGACAAATGGGGGGCTGGGGGGATGGGAGGGCCAAATGGGGGGCTGGAGGGACAGGAGTCCCAACATTTCATTAGCAAGAGGGAGGGGCTGGGAAGGGGCTGGGGCTCAGTGGAAGATGGTCTCCCTGCACACTGTGGGACCTCCCTGGATCTCAGAGGCCCCATCTGGGAGCTCGGTAGGGGCTGGCGGGGCTCAGAGGTCCCAGGGAACCTTCCCAGGAGACGAACCCTTTGCTCTGCCCCAGCAGATGCTGCCGTGAAGGACACACAGCCTGAGGACGAGGTGGAGCTGGACACTCGGGTGAGACCCCACCCCTGTCCCAGGCACCAAAGGCCTCCTGGTGCCGGATCTAATCCAGCAGGACTTCTCTGTCCTCCTTCCCCGGCTCTCAGCACCATCCAGGGTGGACCCTCCGTGTCCAGCACGCTGCCTCCCGCCTGCTGTGACCTCACTCTCTCCTGGTGTCCTGGGACCTCGTGGGCCTCCTCCCGGGTCCCCTTCCTGCTCCTCGTCCTCTGTTTGGCCGTCTGGTTGTTAGAGGGATCCCCAGGACTCAGGAGGATGAGGAATGAACCACCCCGGTGCCCTGGGCTTCCCTTCATTCACCCAGCGAGTGTTCCCAGGAGCTCCCTGTGGATGGGGCTCCCCGTGGGAGCTGCAGACACAGCAGGGAGCAAAGCCGCCCCGCCCTCCTGAACTCACCTCGTGGTGGGAGACAAAATGCAAATAAACACAGTGTCCAGGAGTGCGACGTGCTGTAAGGAAAGTGAACCAGGGAAAGGGCAGAGAGTGCGGGGCAGTGGGGCCAGTCTGAATGGTAAGGGGAGGGCTTTCTGGTCAGCTGTCATCTGAGAAGCCTGGGCAGAAAGGGTCACACCATCCTCTAATGGACGAGCCCCTGCAGGCAGAGGAAACAGCAGTGCAAAGGCCCCGAGGCCGCAGTGAGCTCTTGTGGGAAGGTGGGCGTGAGGCTGCAGCCAAATGGGCAAGGTCAGAGTGAGGAGAGGGCAGAACCTCAGGGAGGGAGCAACCAGATCCTCCACAGCCTTAGGGCATCCCTGAGATTCCATCAGGAAAGGGATGTAATGGGATCACTTTGGGAACAGTGGGAAAACTGACTCGAGGAGGTCAGGGGGATTCAAGGACACCCCCCACCACTGTCTCTTTCCAAGACCCCCACGGAGTGACATATGCCAAACACTCCAGACTCAGGCAGCAGTGGCCTCCCCTCATTCACCACTGTCTGGGGAATTCCTGGATACAAAGGACAGGCAGGACAGGCAGATGGACAGTCAGGAAGGTCCTTTCCTCTCTCTCACCCCCACCACGTTCCTTCCCTCTCACTCTCCCCCACTGCAGGCTGCTGCCTCTGAAGGCCCCCAGGATGTGACCTACGCCCAGCTGCACAGCTTGACCCTCAGACGGGAGGCAACTGAGCCTCCTCCCTCTCAGGAAGGGGCCCCTCCAGCTGAGCCCAGCATCTACGCCACTGTGGCCATCCACTAGTCCAGGGGGACCCAGACCCCACACTCAACAGAAGGACACTCAGAAGACATGGGAGCTGCCCCCAGTGGACACCAATAGACCCCAGCCAGCCTGGACCCTTAACACAGACCACCAGGAGGCACTGGGAACTTGTGGGACTCACCTGACTCAAAGATGACTAATATCCTCGCATTTTGGAAATAAAGCAGCAGACCTCTCAATAATCAGTGAGTCAATAAGAAAAAAAAAACAGACATAAAGGCCAGTTGTGGCACTTGGGAGGCTGAGTCGGGAGAATGCCTTGAACCCAAGAGGTTAAGGATGCTGAGGCTGCAGTGAGCCATGACTCTGCCGCTGCACTCCAGCCTGTGTGATAGATCGAGACCTTGTCTCTTAAAAAAAAGAGTGAATGTTTTTAATTGAATGATAATGTCAATATTCCACATCCAACTTACAAAATGGGAAAATTAAGAGGCGTAACCAGGTACAGTGGCTCACGCCTGTAATCCCAACACTTCGGGAGGGCAAGTGGGGAGGATGGCTTGAGCTCAGGAGTTGCAGCCAGCCTGAGCAGCATCGTGAGACCCAACCTCTCCAGAAAGTAAAGCTAGTCAGGCATGGTGGCACACACCTGTAGCCCCAGCGACTTGGGAGGCTGAGGTGGGAGGATCACTTGGGCACAGGAGGTCGAGGCTGCAGTGAGCCAAGATCACACCACAGCTCTCCAGCCTGGGCAACAGTGAGACCCTGTCTAAAAAAATCAGAAAACTAAAAATCCAGTGAAATTATCTGTTGATTCGTGTTTGCATAATACATTTTTCAACCTTCGGTTTTTTTAATGTGATAAATATAAATAAAATGCCAGGGGTGGTGGCCACACCTGCAATCCCAGCACTTTGGGAGGCCAAGGCAGGCGGATCATGAGGTCAGGAGTGCAAGACCAGCCTGCCCAAGATGGTGAAACCCTGTCTCTACTAAAAATACAGAAATTAGCCAGGTGTGGTGGCAGATGTCTATAATCCCAGCTACTGGGGAGGGAGGCAGAGAATTGCTTGACCCCGGAGACAGAGGTTGCGGTGAGCCGAGATGGCGCCACTGCACTGCAGAATCACAGTATTTGTCTTTTTGTGTCTGGTTTATAAGGTTTTCAATGCTCGTCCACGTTATTCATTATTTTTAACCCACTTACTTTCTTATATTGAATTTCCTATAGATTGTATACAAAAAAGGCTGCTTTGTGGTTTCTTTAAATCCAATCTTGTAATCTCTTTCAATCGCTGTATTTAGATCACTTACGTTCATGTCACTTAATGACAGGCATATGTTCTGAGAAATCCATCTTTAAAAAGTGTTGGCCATGGCCGGGCGCGGTGGCTCACGCCGGTAATCCCAGCACTTTGAGAGGCGGAGACGGGCAAATCACCAGAGGTCAGGAGTTCAGGACCAGCCTGGCCAACATGGTGAAACCCTGTCTTTATTAAAAATACAAAAATTAGCTGGGCATCATGGCACATGCCTGTAATCCAACTACTCAGGAAGCGGAGGCAGGATTGAACCCGGGAGGTAGAGGTTGTATTGAGCCGAGATCATGCCATTGCATGTCTAGGCAACAAGAGCGAAAACTCTGTCTCAAAACAAAAACAAAAACAAAAACCACTGTGCGAACCTCATAGTGCGAGCGTACTTGCAAAACCTACAGGATATAACCTAGTCCGCGCATCGCTACGTCATCACACGTGACGTGTAGCGGACTGCAAGGCCGTTACGCAGCACGTGACTGCATCAGGCTTGCCTTTTTGTTTGCCTCTCTCCTCTGTTGTTTGCTGATTCCCACTTCCTGCTTACTCTTAGTTTTTTAGAAATGTTTTTAGTTTTGTTAAAAACATGATTCCTGGACTTTTCTCTTTTTTTCTTTTTTTTTTTTTTGAGACGCAGTTTCGCTCTTGTTACCCAGGCTGGAGTGCAATGGTGCAATCTCGGCTCACCACAACCTCCGCCTCCTGGGTTCAGGCAATTCTCCTGCCTCAGCCTCCCAAGTAGCTGGGATTACAGGCACGCGCCACCATGCCCAGCTAATTTTTGTATTTTTAGTAGAGATGGGGTTTCACCATGTTGACCAGGAAGGTCTCGTCTCTTGACCTTGTGATCCACCCACCTCGGCCTCCCAAAGTGCTGGGATTATAGGCGTGAGCCACCGTGCCCGGCATTCCTGGAGTTTTCTATTTAATACTTTTGGACCATGGTGGACCACCAGTTAACTGAAACCACAAAAATAAAATTACAGATCAAGGGGGACTACTGCATTAGAGATTTTAAAATACATTTACAATTTTTTTTGTAGAGGTGTGGTCTCGCTGTGTTGCCCAAGCTGCCCTCGAACTCCTGGGCTTAAGAGCCTCCCATCTCAGCCTCCAAAAGTTCTGGCATTGCAGGCATGAGCCACTGTGCCCAGCTTAAGAGTTTTTAATTGACAAATAATTATCGTACATATTTATGGGGTACAGAGTATTTTATCTTATCTACTAGTGTGTGGTTTTTGTCATTTGAGACAGTTTCACTCTTGTTGCCCAGGCTGGAGTGCAGTGGTATGATCACAGCTCACTGCAATCTCCACCTCCGGGATTCAAGTGATTCTCCTTCTTCAGCCTCCCAAGTAGCTGGATTACAGGCATGTGCCACCATGCCTAGCTAAATTTTTTTTTTTTTTTTTTTATCCATAAAGACGGAGTTTCACCATGTTGGTCAGGCTGGTCTTGAACTCCCGACCTCAGGTGATCCGCCCGCCTTGGCCTCCAAAGTGCTTGGATGCCTGGCTAAATTTTTTTTTTTTTTTAATTTTTTTTTATATTTTTAGTAGAGACAGGGTTTCACCATGTAGGCCAGACTGGTCTCTAACTCCCGACCTCAGGCAATCCACCTGCCTCAGCCTCCCCAAGTGCTGGGATTAAAGGTGTGAGCCACCATGCCCAGCCCATCTACCAGTGTTTTAATTATAACTCTTTGTACACATGTAAGTGGCTGTTTTAGATATTATAATACACATCCCTAACTCTATGCAATTTTACCTCTAAAAATGAACTGCTGGAATCTTAAGAACACAAAAGTTCCTCTCTCCCCTCCCCTTTAAGTTAATACGTATTACATCAACATTACACATTGAAACCCCATTACGTCAACATTACACATTGAAACCCCACCAGACAAAACTAGAAATTCTATTCCAATAGCCATGTATATGTCAAAGAATTAAGAAAAGGAAGATACTTATTTACCATGATACATAGCATTTTTTTATCTTCCTTTATTTTGAATTGTCATGTTTCCTTCTGGAATTACTATCACATTTTTCATCCCAAAGAACTTCCCTTAACAATTCTTTTACATTATGTCTGTTGGAAACAAATTTTCTTAGTTTTCTTTCCCCCTAAATAGGACTTTATTTGGCTGGGCGTGGTGGCTCACACCTGTAATCCCAGCACTTTGGGAGGCCGAGGCGGGCAGGTCACCTGAGGTCAGAAGTTGGAGACCAGCCTGACCAACATGGTGAAACCTGGTATCTACTAAAAATACAAAAATTAGCTGGGCGTGGTGGTGCGCGCCTGTAGTCCCAGCTACTCAGGAGGCTGAGGCAGGAGAATCGCGTAAACCCAGGAGATGGAGGTTACAGTGAGCCTAGATTGTGTCATTTGCACTCCAGCCTGGGACACAGAGTGAGAACACGTCTCAAAAACAGAAAGAATCCTGATCAGCATATCACCTAGCAACTGGGTTCACACTTCATTAACGCAAGCTCCATGAGTCCAGCAGGAATCCTACCGGCCTCACCCACCCCTCCCCTCCCCTCCACAAGCTCCATGAGTCCAGCAGGAATCCTACCGGCCTCACCCACCCCTCCCCTCCCCTCCTTCCGGCAGCAAGCCTGGATGTGGCTTGCTCAATAAACTTCTTCTGATCATGAGGCTGATGAGAGAAAAGATGCGTTGCAGAGCTCGGGACACAGAAGGCACTTGCCTCTAGAATTAGAACCGTGACTGGGCTGTGTCCTGAGGCCCTGACCTCTCTGACCTCGTGTGCTAGAACAAGGGTCACCCTGGATTTGGGTTGGGCACGGTGGAGGCAGGCAGAGCATGGGGAGTCAAACGTGACCCAAATGTGGTCTGAAAGGCCCCAGAGCCTGCTGTCCCCTCAGCCCCATCCTTCAGGGGAAGCAGAGCGAGGCCCTGGGGTAGGGGCTTTTCCCCTCCTTCGAGGCCACTGGTGAGAACACAGAGTCCGGGACTCCTTGCACCCAGTGCACCCATCTGCCCTCCAGGCTCTGTGGGCTCAATGGTCTAATTCATCTGCACTGCTGGGGATCATGACAGGCAGGGCCACAAGCCCCACTTCATTGTCCATCTCCCTGCTGTGTGTCCAGGGAAGCCTCAGGTGGACACAGGGTGGTTGGTGACACTGACCTCTTGGGCCAGAACCACAGGCAGAAGACATGGAGCTGAGACTGTGAGAACTATCCCCACAGAGTATATCCCCTTAATACCAATCCTCTCCTCTCAGGGGCGCACAGGCAGCCCACAGCCCTCCCTCAGCACAGCTGGGCTCGCTGGAGCTCACTGGAGACAGCCTGACCCCCCCAGCATCATTGAGGCCAGATCTGACAGCTCTGCATTGATCAGGACAAGGAGCTCCCAACCCCCCAGTGCCTATGTGGGCAGCACATACCCGACTTCTTCCTGGGCCCTGTGAGCCACACCCGGGGGCCAGCACAGATGCTGAGGCGGACACATTTCCTGCCCAAGGTAGGCCCCTGCGGCCCCCACCCAACATCCTGGTTGCAGATGAGAAGCCCCTGCCTAGCCCCCATCTTGTTATCTGCTCAGGACCCTGGGTTCAGGGTCATCCCTGGTGACGAGAGTTGAGGGAGGGAATGAGATGGGGCAGTGGTCGAAGGAGCTCACCAGGAAAGGGAGACCCAGCAGGCCAGGCACTGTGGCTCACATGTAATCCTCCCGCTCACTGCCTCTGCAGGAAGAGCCCTGGGCCGGGCACGGTGGCTCATGCCTATAATCCCAGCACTTTGGGAGGCCGAGGCAGGTGGATCACGAGGTCAAGAGATCGAGACCATCCTGGTCAACATGGTGAAACCCCGTCTCTACTAAAAATACAAAAAATTAGCTGGGCATGGTGGTGCGTGCCTGTAGTCCCAGCTACTCGGGAGGCTGAGGCAGGAGAATTGCTTGAACCC